TGGGGTTGATTTACTAACCTTATAAACACACCACGAACGTGTATACACCTCTGCAGTGTGTTCCCTCCCAGCATGATCTATGGGTGGAATCTAAACACCTTTGTAATGTGTACACACCCAGCAGGTGTGTTGTGCAAAGCCCTGAAGGAATTCCAAGGTGATGTTGGGTAAATTAGCTCTATGTTGTGTTGCTTGCGTTGATGAATGCAGGAATGTAAATGCATGAGCTAACCATTTTTGTCTAAACTGTGAAGCAGCATTATATATGCATCATGTTCATGATTTTTCCATATATGGCATTAGTGGAAATATGCTTTTAGAGACTTTTTGGTTGATAAATACGTTTTGCTGTGTGAAAATCACACACACCTGGTGTGTGTGTGTGTGTTTAGGTTAGTAAATCACCCCCACTGACTTACTGATGGTGTCAGAGCACAGTACCTGCAGGCTGCAGCTCTCCCCGATCTCTGTAGGTCTGTGTCGGATCCCATGCTGATTCCCGCCATGGAGCCACCTCACGTCATCTGGACTGGAACTCGGGACCCCTTCAGTCTCTTCACGGCCACACCTCCCTTGGCGCGTTGCGCCGCTGCCTGCTGGGTAATGCAGTCCTCTGGCCGGCAGCAGCTCTCCCGCTCCTCTGGTCTCATGAAGATCGCTGCGGGCAGCACGAGAGAGCTGCGGTGGCCGTGGATGGTCACACTTTCTAATCTTTGGGCCGCGCAGTGCCTCGCCCTTCTAAGGTTCTGAAACAGCCATCTAAGAAGCTCCTGGCCAGTCGTTTAATTACAACGGCCAACTAGGAAGCTACTCGTCCGGCTCCGTGTCCTTGCGTCACAGAGGAGAGGACAAGTGTATTTTTCAAGCCCTCCTGCTAACTATCGTGCAACATGTTTCACAACAGGAGAAGACCTGTGTTCCCTCGCTGGACGTATGGCGGGAATGCTCACATTTCTGCAGCCACCCAGATCACTTTTATTCACAGAGGAAAATAACTGCAGCTTGTTTTAAAGTGGAGCTCCAGGTTATTTTCTTTCCCCATCTCTAATAAAGAATAAAACAAATTGTCACTGTATCACCTCTTTGAGGAAGGCACCATGCGAGGCCCCAAAACGTTGGCATGCTGTCTGTGATGTGCCTTTGTTTAGAGTGCTGGTGGTTTTGGATTGTTCCACCCTGGATTTCTGCATTCATTTCTCCATAGATACAGTACAGTGAATGAGTGTTGCCACCCTAAGACATTGTGTTAGTCGCAGGATCTAAAATTAATAGATTAAATAAAACCAAAACGTGCTTGAACAGGTGAAAATAAAATAAAAAGCCTGACAAAAAAATAAAATGAATGTAGCCACTACATCTAACGGCTGATAAATATGATGCCTTTGTTTTTGGATTTAGATCTGTTTTAACATAATATCATCTTTTTTCGTTGGTTAATTTCAATACAACATTGTTTTCCATGTTTAGGCCAAAAAAGAAATTTAAGAAGAAAACATCAAATCAGAAAGCGAAAGAGGAATATGAACAAGTTCGACATGAACGAGCAAAGAAGAGAAAAGTAAGGACGCTAAGTTTATTTTAAGAGCACATTTTAGAACCTTCAGAGCTTGTAGATCAGAGGCAGGGGTGGCACAAGGAAAGTAACAGTAATTATACAATTTCAAAGTTTCTGAATGTAATGCCTTTTATTATTTTACAATAGTCATTTTACATTATTGTATGGTAGAGTGATCCTTATGAAATATTTCTCTTGGAGCCATATTATAAGTAGATCTCACATGTTGCATTTGCCCATTATTCCAGATTGCAGGTATTTGTGCTTACTCAATCTATATTCTGGAACAGTGCATCACCTGCTTGCATAGATGGCCAGATTCTGAATTGTGATTACATTAGCTCGACTGCCTCCGGGCCCCCCGTTGTCACAAAGTGGCCGGCCGGGAGCTTCTTGGATGTGACCGGCCATGTAAAGATGGCCTGTTGGCCCTGCCCACTCGCTTGGGAAACTGCTTGAATTTAAAAAACAGGGAGAGATCTCTTATAT